AAAGTAGGTTTGACAAGCCGCTTGTGTGGTGTATTTCGCTCTTAAGAAAAATTTTGCTTCGGAGTTTTTCCTCCGTGATATTTCTAATATTAATCGCCCATCGAATTTGATTTCAAATAGCTTTTTATATTGCGCTATAGTGAATTTCGGTAGTTTAGGTTGTTTACAATAGTACATTTTTCACCGCTGAGAAGCTTTGCTTACAAATCGAGCTAACTAAAAGTGTCCTTAAACACTTCGCTACACCAACGAAAGTAAAATTCTGTTCGACAGAAAATTCGATACTCAACGAAAATTTCAACACGGTTGCATAGCTCATCATACGAATTTCACTATCGATCTTCGATAACCAGCGATAAATGTGGAATTTTCAATATTTTCAAAAGCTTATATTTCCAAAACTGTTTCACCGAATAAGTGGATATGGTTGGAAAGGTAATTGGTAGACCTTTTATTTAATGTACGTTTTAAAAAAAAATGCGTAAATAACTATACTAAGTTATATGTTTATTAGAAGGAGTTCATAAATACCTTTAAACTGATATATTTCGGCAACACAGAAAGGAGAATTCTACTTCGTGAGGATTTTAATCCCTGAATGGAGCCGAAGGCCGCCTACACAGAAAGGGGTTCTGCCCATTTTTGTTGGCAACGCAAAGGAGAATGCTGAGTAGTAAGTGTCATAATCCTTAAGCGCGGCGAAAGGCCGCCTACGCAAAAGAATTTTTCCAACATAGCATACACCAAATTAAAGGTATTTTTATGCACTTTTTAAAAATATTATTTTTGCATATAGTTAATTACGTATTTTTTCTTGGAAAATTTCTTAGAAAAACGTACATAATTAAAAAAATGGTTTTAATTTCGTTTTTTTTTTTTAGTTTTTTTCGAAATATGTTTATAATATATACATAGATATGCATATCAAATAAGGGTCTTTCCAATTATCTTTTACACTATATCCACGATTTGAAAATCGGTGCAATAGTTTTCGATATATAAGCTTTTGAAAATATTGAAAATTCCACATTTAGCCCCCTTTAGCTCTCCTATTAATTTCCACCATAAATGGTTTACACCTTTAAAACCAGTTAAAAGGGGCGGACCACATCCACATTTTAA